CTAGTCACATGTGTTAGAATATTGTGGTTCTTACACCTGGTTCTATTTTTCTCATATCTATCTTTATCTTTCCCCAGGTTTTACTGAAAAAAGTCTGTATCTTCCTTGATTTTTCATTCATTTTTTTTTCCCCTATTCCATTTCTGGTTCATTCCATTTCTTATTGTCCCCTGCATGGTGTCTTTCATTTTTTACCTGTGTTAAAATCAACATTCTCAAGGTTGTCAACTTGTACATATCTGAATTTTGTCCACAGGAAACTTATGGTTGGGGGAAAATAACTGAATTATATTTGAAGTAAGTGGAAGGAATAAGGTTCTACAAGAACTATGCCTAGATAGCATGAAAGATGGATCCAATTTTTCATTTCTATAACTCGTCATGAAAAAAAATGGGAACTAGAATAATGATTACAATCCTAAATTAAGGCATTTCTTGGTCTGTATTAATAAACCTGTGCAAATTAAGAATTCATAGAAGAAAAATGATACTGTAAAATGAGTCATTATATTTGTTGATTAACTTACTTTTTTCATTTACAACCTAAAACAAGCATGTGGGTATATGTTGAGTAAAAATGTCTCTAAAAAGAATGACTATAGGAGAGAAATGCATGGAAATTTTATCTACTAAATTAATGAAAGGAATATTAATTTTATTTTTCACAGTGAAAAATTTTATCCACAGTACATTCACCAACCATATAACTGCCTTACTTGTAGATAGTTATGTGTGACTATAAATTTTGCCTGTCCTCTGCTTAAAATTACCCCCTTTTTTGCAAAACTGAGAGAAGAGTAAATTGTATTTGCATCTCACTTTGCTTTCTGTTTCTTTCAACCTCCTTTCAGTTTCCTTTCAGTTCTTCTCCCCAGGTTGAGATGTTTAGTACTTCTATCATCCTCTAAATACATTTGTATACTGCCAAAGTGAAAAGTAATTTGTTAAATTTCTACATATTAAGGAACTAGGAAATTAATTATCTCCTAACCTCAGGAGTATTTTCATTTTAAAGGGAAGTTGTGATTTCAAATTATACAACAGACATGAGGAGTGTGTCTATTTGTCTGGATGACAGATTATTGGAAAATAATCATAACCAAGTTTTACATGCTATCTAAAAGTGTCTTGTTACACGCTAGGTCTTATTAATATGTATTGAATATAAATAAATGATCATTTTTTTATCTCTAACAAAAATTTGGATAATCTATTCCTTTGAAGAAATTAGAGCAAAGCAAATGTCTTGGACCTCTCTCCTTTAATCCTAAAATCTTTGGTTTATCTTTGAAAGAAAAATGGTGCTCCTCAAATATTTCATTTATTCATGGACATTTTCCAAACCCTCTTATATTTAGGCAGGGATATATGAACAGCTATGGCCAGTAAAATGGGAATAAGAATGATATATGTGACTTCCAAGCTAAAACACTAAATAGTTTATGCATGCTTTTACAAGTTCCTGTTTTTTCTTTGACTGGTGAGGTCATTCGTTACAGACAGTACAACTATGAAATGACACAATGTCGAAAAACCAGGATCTCTGAAATTAGGCCACTGAGATTTTGTCTGGCTGATTTGGACTGCTACAGTAATGTAATTCCAATATAGTATTTACCATATCACTTTACAATCTGCTGTTCCATATAATCATTTTCTCATTTATTTTTGTAGCATTGTTGTTAAAAAATACATAGTCAAGAAACCATAGTTATATGAGAGTATTTTTTGAAAAGTTAAAAATTAGACAACAAATTTAAGGCAATTATATATGGTGACAAGATTAGCTCAATTTAACTCAATGCAATGCACCTACTGAACAATAACACTGTGGTATGCTCTGTGTAGACATGAGTTGGTAATATTAATAATCATGTTATTAATAAGTGCAATTAAGATGATATTAGTAGATACTACCATTAACAATGATTTTATTGCCTAAATAAAAATAATATGCTGACTGAATACTTTGTAATAATTTCTGACTTAAAGAATCATGAAATGATGAAATAAATGTCTAGAGTCCTAGTTTTCAGGATATCAAAGCAGGATGTATCCCAATCTCTAAAACTTTCCAAGTGATAAACATATGAAAATCTCTGTACTTGTAATGATAATGCCAAACAATTTTATAGAAAATTACTTTTTTTCCAGTTACCTTATATTCATTTTTTCAGATGATCCCCAATAAAGTCTCAGAATTTAGACAGATCTGAGATGAATAGTAAATTTACTGACTATATGTGGAAACTGAGGCTACAAAATATTGACATAACTTTTCCATGGCAACCAGTGGTAACTGGTAGAGCAAACACCAAGCCGCTCTGGTAAATGAGTGTAGGGTAAATGAAGATGCTCAAGATTTTACCCTGCTGGCTTCTGTGGCTATCACCTGCAGCCTTGAATGCAGAAGATGTGTGGGAGGCTGGCTCAGGGCACACTTGCCTGATGGTGGACACCTGGTATATGGTGTGGACATGCATGAGTGTGCATACCTGAGCTTAGGAGGTCAGGGATATAAGGGCAGCATCACACAGAAGACAGGGTGCAGCAGAGGGCAGTGAGTGATGGCTGGGAGAGGAAGAGACCAGGAGATGTCAACAGAGATAGCCCAAAGTGTAAAGATTAACTGGGGTCTGGGAGTGCTCCCTGCCTGCCCTGCACCTGGTTGCGTCACTGAGATGTTGTGGAAAGATCATTAAAAGCTGGAAAAATCCACTCTCCTTTATCCATCTCCCAAATTGATGTAGAAACTGACCTATGCATTTCTGGCACTACAATGAGTTGGAGAAATTTTCTTTGATAAGTACAGAAATAAGTTTAAATTAAGTTTTTTTTTCCTCCATGGTTCTTTATATCAACCATCTCTCCTCATTTATGGTGATAAGTTTTTAAAATACAAAGCCTATACTGTAAAAAAGATAGCCGGGCATATTCATGTCTCTAAGAATTTTCCATTTCCTCCAAATAATGAGAATTTGAAAAAATTAAATTAGCCTTATTAATCTTTTAATGTTGGTTAAGGTCAAGATATTCTATACAAAATAAAGCAGTGCTTACTTGTTCTAGAAAGGAAACTAAGAAAAGAGGTAAGGAGCAGGGAGGTGAGGGAGGGGAAGAGGGTGAGAGGAGGGGGGAGGGGGGAAGGGGGAGAGAGAGTGAGAGAGAGATTGAAAAGTTGTTTTTATAAGAATAAGAGACAAGACATTTGATATGACTCTAGTTACCACACAAGCAAATGGTAATTAATTTGGCTCAACATTATGCTGAGATTTTCCATCTCCATTTATATTTACTAATATTGGAATGAACGTTAGCATCATCTGCTAATTTTATCCAAGTAACATGTAATTAACCCTTCAACATCACCATCAGGTTAACTAGAATATTGCTTCAGTCCATCTGCAGGGTATCTGATAAAAATTAATATAAATTAGTCCATAATTCTTCCATTTTTAGCAAATGGTTGCAAGTAGTATGGCAACAGATATGATTATTTTAAGACTATATTAATTATGGATGTTTCTTTTTCCTATAAAAATTATGGGTGCTGTTTTTAACACTGTTTCTAAGGGACGAGCCTCTTCTTAATTTTTATTGGCTTAAAAAATCATTACCGATGTCAGGAATTCATTAGCAAATTCTTTTCAAATCTCAAGCTCTATACTTTCCAAGTGGAGAACTTCTATACATATCCATTTTTTCCAAGCACTTCAGCCCCTTGCCTTTTAAATCAATAAGCCACATTGACAAACTTTTAATTATTCCCTGAATGTGCACACCTGTTTTGATTTTTCCACTAGAGAACAAAATTAGCCAGCTGGTTTAGAGGTTTGCTTTGGTTCATCTTGTTTGAACTTCAGCTTTCTCCACTAAGACAGAAAGGGTCTTACTTTATTGATTACTTTGAAAAGAGAGAATTTTTAAAAATCAGAGTGAAATAAAATCCCCAGCTCTGTTAATAAGTATGCAAAGATTTAAAAGCCTGAATAATTGACTTGCAAATGTTTTCTTATTTTAAGCAAACTCACCAATGTACCTTGAAAAAGGCACTTCATAATTATAATTATGCATGAAAAGTACAGTGACCATTCAGAGTTATCTAAACGTGTGATTTTCAATGCTTCTTCATGCAAATAATATAACCACCAACTTTTTTTAATTCCCAAGCACCAATTTTCCATTCATCCAGCTAAGAAGTCAAGTGTTTAACTATCTTCCTGCCCCACAATTTCAGCAAGGTTATAATCTCTGAGGAAAGACCCAAGGGATTCTGCACAAATTAACTTACTATTGGGTATTTACACTCTCATTTTTCTCATAGTTTTATTTTCCTGGTGTAATTGAGCTGTAATAATGTAGGACACATAGCTAAAGAAAAGCAGGTGAATAAATATCTACAAATCTAGCTAGAGGAGACTTCCTTTCATCTCAGCCTACTAGTAAGGAAATAGATTAGATACACATTTTCTGAACTATTTCTTTCTAAATTGACAAAACTTAGAAGGGATGTGGTATACCCAACTGCAAAGTATGAATTTAGAAAGCACAAAATAAATCTAAAAGAATAACAACTTTCAATTTAAAACATATACACAGAGAAACTTCTGCAAATGAGTGATTTCTGAAGCTATGCATGCATACTCATGCAAGCAGACAGAAATTAAACTGAGCTTTAAACATGCATAAACATATTGCTAATATGTAATTAAATATACAATAAAATAAACTTAAGCCATTAGCTATTTTCCTTCTTTAAATCTGTTGGCCACCGACCTCATCTTTACTTTCTTCAAAATAGAATGACAAAATGGAAAAAGAGATAAGATGCTTCCAATTCTGGAATCCTATAACTTAATACCATAAATAATATGAACAATGACGCACATAGTTATGGCATACAAAATAATGGAATCATGATAACCAAGAGTCTGTATCATTTACTAAGAGCCTTAAAAGGCTGAAAACTAATAAGAAATAAGGAACATGAAAGTACTTACAACTGATCGGATATTATTTTCCTTAACCAGCTTCAGAGATGATTTATAGCAATTCGCAAGGTCTTCCTTGTGGGAACCATTTATATGGCCTCTGGCTATTGGCCCTACGGTATGGATGACATCTGTGAATGCAAAAGGAAAAGAAAATAGGATAAGTAAGGTATTTTTCACTTTTCACATAATTGGAGCTTTATTTATTTTAGGTATTTATATTAGAGCCTGGAGACAAGTAAGCAAAGAAATACTGATGATGAAAATGATTCTCTGGTAAAATATTTTGGAATAACACCGTCTCATAAAGTAGGCAATTTCTTAGGAAGGTGATAATAGTGAAAAAGGATCCCCTATCAGTTAATTATTCTACTGGTATTGACCAGATTCAAGTGAGAAAGATTATAAGGTAAGATGTGAATATATGGCAGTCTGGCAAAAGACAAATCCTTGGTGGGAAATAAAGTGAGAAATAATCACCTACAAAATGAATATTCTGAGTTGACATGGGACCAATGAAGCAATGCTATACATCACTTTACTTGTAAATAAGACAATAGTTTCAAGTATTATACCTAATAATGGACACATTTATGAAAAATATGTCAAGAGAATTTGTAAAAACCCTAACAAAAATAAATTTAAATCATTCTTAGCAATTTTAATGTATAGTCCACTAATTCTCACATACATGAGGTATGAGAGGGAGGGAGCACAGTCCAAAATAATTACCTGATTCCAACTTTTTATTATATTAAAACTTTCAAATAACAATTTTTACTTTCCAACCTCTTTTTATGTTTGAAGACAAAATTTTTGATTTTTTGTATATAAAACCAATCATTGTGATATTTTTAATATGCATTCACGCAAAACCTTTTAAATTTAGGGAAATATTGAAAAAATAACTGTCCTTTATCTGATTGACTATTTTAAAGTCATAATTTCAAGAAAGAATGCAAATTTTAATCAAAATTGCTTGAAAATGCCTTATAACTTCTGCGTCCCAATGTTTTTTGTTATGTGAATTATATGCCTATTTCATTGCTATAAGTAACAAAAACCAGTCAACTTTGATCAGAAAGACAAAGTCAGTCTCATATTATCAAAATATTATAACAAAATGAAATTACAGGCTTTAAATAGTACCACTTAATTTAAAGAACAATGATGAAAGAATAAGAATAAAAATACATTACAAAAATGAGGCTATGAAATAGCTATAATTTTCATCTGAGGGTCTATAAATCTCAATAGCATGAAGTAAGACACTAAGAGAAAAATCTTTGTTGACTGCCTGATAAATGTCAAGAATATTATCTGATGTTTGAGAAAATCCCCAAAATATTGGTTTCAACTTTTAACTGTGAAACATTTAAACCCTTGTCAGATAATATTAAAGATATCTTGTGATCAAAATAGGCAGAAAATATTATCAGTGCGTTTATGCAGATATTATTACAGGTAAACTTGATTTTTAAAGTAAAAACTGCTATAATATAGGAGAGGATATAAGGAGATTAACTTCTATTTAGAATGCATGTAAATATAGATATGTATAATTTTGTAATAATAGTATCGTGTTGCATATATTGAGGCAATGCAGATCTGCACTGTATGTAGTGAACTTTTATGGGAATTTATTACATTTGTTTGTTTTAAATGTTTGAAGAAGGAAGATTGTGCCTGGTTTTCCCTATCTTCTTTTTGGTGATTCCTCGTTTGGGTCCAGCTATGCTATTTTAAATCGCCTACAAATGAAAGAAAAGTTATAAAGTAAAAACAGAATTCTATAGGGCAGCATTTCACCAGGACTACATCTGAGAGAAAGCGTACATTGTACAAAAATGAAGAATGATGTAAAATATATATAAAAATAATAAATCACCTAATGAATACAAATGAAAGAAAAGTTATAGAGTAAAAACACAGAATTCTATAGGGTAGCATTTCTCAAAGTGGGTTCATAAGATATGAATCTAAAGGTAATGAAATTTGGGGATCACAGAGTGCAATTAATTCAAATCAGTTACTTTAGTGCAAAGATTTTTCTGGACATGTAGTATGCTGCAATGAATGTTCAATCTCCTGGAAGGGATATGCAGTGCTCTGATCCCAAAATATATTTGGCTATTGGAATCCTTGTCTTGCAGAATTCTTCATGGGAATAAGTTTCCATAAAGTAACTTTTAGAAAATATTGTTTTGGAGCAATTTTGATACCATTAATGCCATTATTGAAGGTGAAGTCTGTGTTTGTTGTTTATTCTACCGGCCCCATAGCTAGACACTGTACATCCAACAATAAGAAAAGGTGTCACAGGATACAATCTTATGAATGGCAAATGTTGAAAATCAAGAATAAGTACCTTGTATTTGGGGTCATAAAAGATACATCTACAAGAACAAACAGAGGGTTTACAGTTTACAATCCACTAATAAATGAGCTTCCTCAACACCCAAATACTGATCTTTGTATTTTATTCTCTCTATTAAATTACCAGTATTCAGGGCCATCTTGGTGGTGCAGGGGTTAAAGACAGCACTATTAAGCTATCACCAGCCACTGCAACACAAGTTCGATCTCCAGCAGGCCAGGGAGCAACACACATGGCACAGCAGACCTCTCCTGTCTTGCCCACTGCTCCCCTTAGCAGTGTATTTCAGTAGATCTGCTAGTTCTGCTTCCCATTCTCTCTCTGGTGAATACTCTCACCGCCCCCACCTCTGACCTACATCCCAGTTCTTGCATGCATAAAGAAAAAAATTAAAAAAGTAAATTAACAGCATCCAATATCAAGAATTTTTATCAACCAACATGATGACCTCTCACATCCACAAAACTGAAATGAATAAGTGTGAAGGGAGCTTGAAAGGAAATTGCCTTTATCATTTTAATTGTTCATAGTACTTAGAAGTACACTTTCACACCAAGGAGTTCCTACATTTCTGTAATAAAATTCAGTTATCAGGTCTTCCTTTCCATTCCATTCCAGCCCAGACACACAAGTGCCCAAGAGGAAGCCACCCTTTCATTGGCTTCTGCCTTTGTTTCTCTATCTGTAAAACAAATCAACAGCTTCTATCATCTCTGTGGTCTCTTTTGTAGCATCATTAATACTTAACCTTGTAATGGAGACAGATTGAGTACTGAATGATGTCTGGACTAAAAGGAGACCTGAAACATGGCTAAGTAGTTATGTGAGTATAGGAAACTTTTTCAACATCAACATATTATAGATCATTCTTTCACAATAATAATTTCAAAACCCATTGATTAAGAATAAGTTAGAGAAAAACAGCTTTTATAACTTTAATGAGGCTTTGTATTAATTTACAATTTATTAAAAAAATAGCATCTTTGGAGTGACATATATATTGAGTTATATGCATTCAGTCCATGAACAATACTTTATCTTGTATATGAATTTGTGAATCTATCAATAGTTGCATAAAAATATAAATAAAAGAATTACTTTGATGCTTGATGAATTTAGAGACTTACAAAATGGCAATTACAAACAACAGCAGCAGCAGAGACTGCTGCCACTGCTGCTCTTAGGACAATGAGTCCCAATATCTGGTAAGTCACAAGTCCCAGATATAACCTATCCAGGTATGTGACCTTGGGGAAGTCACTCTCCAGTGGGCTTCTGACTCAAAATTTAAAAAAGGAATTGAGTTAAGATGGTTTCTAACAATCTTTGTCCCTTTCAAAAGCAGGTCCTCTTCTACAAAAATTAATCAACTGATCCTTAGTAGTCTAATTTACTCTTGTCCAGATAATGAGCATGAGTCACAATTCACATTTCTCAAACATGCTTATAAATGAGGCCTAAATTGGTACCAGCCACGTAGAGTTCTAACTATATCTGTCATAATTACAAAGGTAGAATAATACACTACCTCCAGGATTGCATCCTATAAACAAAATGCTTGGAAACAACCTAAATATCCATCAAAAGGAAACTAGTAAAAAAAATAGTATATTTATACAATGAAATATACTTCCGTAAAAAGGACAATGAAGATCTTCATATATGGACATGGACAGATGTCTGAGATACATTACTAAGTTAAAAAAACAAAAGAAAAAAAGATGCAGAAAAGTGTGTTTAGAGTGATACTACTCTAAACAGTAGAGTGATAACAGTACCCCAAAAGTATAGAAACATGTTTTTTAGCCAGTACCTGCAAATAACATCTCTGGAAGAATTAAGAAGCAACTAAAACAGTGATTAACTACTAGGGAAATGATGGAAAATACAAAGATTAGACATATATAGAAAATAAGACTTTCACAGTTGTTATATTTTTTGATGGTTATTTTATATGAATGCATTATCAAAAATTAAATAAAGCATCAAAATAAGCAATCTAAGTTATATTAAATATTTTCCTGGAACCCATCTGCTATATAGTAAAGAATATTAATGTGCCTTTCAAAAGCGATTTTGAAACAAAGTAAACTTAAACAATGCCAAGGTTGTGGATAGGTCACTGTGAGTTCTACCCAGTGCTCACAGTTTCAAGACACTACTCAGGCTCAGGGTTCAACAATAACTGGGTTTATTAATAAACAGGGGATGGGGTGCGAATGGGGGAACAGTTTCTAAGGCCACAAAATGACTGGCTGTCTCACCCAGGTAGTGTCCGCAGTGTCCAGCAGTCCAAAGAAAGGTGGCTTGTTCAAGATGGTACCACCATTTCCATGTGGGTCGGAAACCTTCAGCATAAGATTCAACTCGCAGTGGCAGCCAGAGCTACTCAGAGCAGCCAGCGACACCTACTTAAAGGCCAGGCTGCCGGTGCCAGACACCAGACCGGGCAGTACCAGAGGCAGCAGCACCAGGAGGAGGGCTGGGGGATCAGAAGATGCAGCAGTTTTCCATGGTAGCGGTGCTGGAGTAGAGGCACTAGTGTTACGGCCCTCTGAGCGCTAACAGCCTTTTAGAAATGCATGCCCAGGCCAGCAAGGGATGTTGGAGGCCGGGCCAGAGGCAGGAGCAGCAGTTAGGCTTTGGTTTGAAACAGAAATCAAATGTGAAAGTCTCCTAAGTCTACCAAGGTCCAGGAGGTTCTTCCTCGGAAGTCTGGACAAGTCTTCCTCACGAGTCTGTCTGCAAAGTTTG